ACCTGAGGGGAAATATCTGGCTCTTCAGCTGCTAAATGCTCCACTGTGTTCACCAGCAGGTCTCTTGCTATGTCAAACATAGCTTGTTTGATAATCCTCTGTGGGCCCCTCACTATTCTCATTGTACACAGCCTTTTTTGATCCATTGATAATATACAAATATTGATCATTACAGCTTTAAATGTCATGTTGGTTTACTGTTCCTGTAGAGTCAGGAGCTGCTGAGTGAAGTACAGACTCAGCTGGGGGGTTCAGAGGGAAACTGGGTTGTGGGAGTGGTCCTTCAGCTGCACAGGCTGATGCCCACCTCATTTTATTCATTAGCCGCCGCGGCGCGCTGGGTCAGCGTACAGCATTTAAATCCAGAAACAGCATTTAATTTACACTGCGGAGAGGCAGGGCCTTTCTGGATTGTTGGTTTCCATAATTGTCAAGCAGCCAAACCCTCCTCCCCCTGAAAACAGAGAATCATGGGAATTTAATTATGATGGGATTCTTGCTCTTGACCCTGCAGGGCTCAACCGGCGCTTGATGGGTGGGCTGTCGTTTAGAACGAAGACGCACCCGATGAAGACCCAGGAGCCTCCAAATACACTGAATTATCCCTTTCTGCATTATATACAGTTTGCCCTTCATTACACATTTTAATATTCAGAGTTTTAAATTCTGGCACGTATCGAACCGCTTACCCTTCAGTGTGGGAGTAGGGAGGCTAGGTGCATTACATAACCGATAGAAAACGTGACTCTTCAGGCAGCAGCAGGTGCTCCTTTCATACTTTGATAGGGAGAGATGATTTTTGGTCACTTGGTTTCTCAGGCATGTGGGACTTTGCAGAATGACACAGTACAAGCCTTTGACAAAGTGTACAGCTCAGTGCAGAGCTGTGGAAGGGGCTTGAGTTGGACATTGTTTTGCAGGATTGCTGAGTTTTGCAAGTTTGTTCTGTTCTTCAGCGTAGAGCTGTGGTTCTCAAACTTTTTCACATCAAGGACCCCTTAACTGACACAAACTAGACCACGGACCCCCAGTTGATTTTGCCATGAGGTCCCACATCTGATAGGATTTTTGCTTTTAGATGTTTTGTTACAGAAAGCGAATGAAACCCATGACCAAAATAGCATTGGCTTTCTGTCATTGGCTTACTTATGGAACCCCCTCAGGATCTCCTGGAGGTCCCCCAGACCCCACTTTGAGAAGAAAGAATTGACAGCAAGGGTTTGGCTGAGAAGTTGGGGCATATGCTTGAGCAACAACACTCTCAAGCTGTGATTCATATCCACCATTATGACCACCAGCCTGACCCGTTGAAGCATGGACTCCGCTGTGGGTTCTGACAACTTTCTATCAGAACCAGCATCAACTTTTTCAGCAGTGTGGCCGACAGTAGCTCGTCGGACCGGACCATAGGGGCCAGTCTTCACTCCCCAGTGAGCCTTTGGCCGTCCATGACCCCGTCGCCTGCTCTGATGCTACTGACCCCTGGAGATGCTCGTCTAGCCATCACAGTTTGGCCCTTGTCAAAGTCGCTGAAATCCTTGCATCTGACAAAATGATCACAATATATCCCACCTTAGTCTTAATGTTATGGCTGATCAGTGTACGTTAAACTGTTCTCTTATCTAAAATTAGACACATTTCATTTTAATATACTTCAGAGTTTCCGTTATGAATAAGAGGTTGTCAACAAATATTTGTCATGAGTTTAATTTTCAAAGAAAACTTTTGTTTTGACCTGCATCTTTTTGGAAAACATATTGTTCTGCGTTGGACTAAAGTGCATCATCTAATACGTTCCATTATACTTCGTGGAAAAAATGGAAACTGCATTCAGCTGCAAATTTAGAATAAAAGTCTGGTTTCACCTTGAGCCATTAACCAGCCCCTGTAAACAGTAGTTTTAATTAACATCAACTAATCAGACTCAGCCCATCATAAGCCTGGAGCCCCTAACAGATGAAAATAATCCACCGTTATCTCCAGCAAAGGAAACTTTGGTCAGCAAAGGTGTTTTCAATCTCTTTATCCTGGAAGTGGAAGGTCTACTCAGCCGGTCGTTTGGCCTCGGGGCTCTCCCTTCCATCCTTACCTTCCGTCCTTCCTCTCCTCGGACAAGACCATTGATTATCCAGAGCGGAGCCAGAGGGGAACTTCAGCTCCGGTGCTCTGAGACGCTCCCAATTAGCCAAATGACTGGAGTTGAGGAAGAGCAAATGGTCGTTCCCTCGCGGGCCGGCCGTGACCGCTCTCCGACTGATTAAACCCCTCATCTTTTCGCCGCTTCACTCCCGGCACACGTCATGAAACTGCTGCTTCCAGAAACGCTCGCCTGAAAGTGTCATGACTGATTACCGACCTCCACGCTGAGATCTGCCGACTCCTCGTGCTGTTTTGGATGGGTATGTCTGTAGCCGAGCATTTCTTACAGATATAACCCCTTCACATGCTTTTGTTGAGGGTCAGATACTGAGGAATCCTGGGAATTATCGGCCGTGCTGGAGGCCGTCCTTTGATTAAGTGATTACCCCTGTGTGTCCCCCCTGCCTCCCCCTCATCTCTTACCTCCTCACTGGGGCTAATTGTAAACAGAAGCTGGTCGTTGTCTGATCTGCTGTGGCGATGATACCGGCTCTCAGCCATGCCCCCGCTTCACCTCCACTTCCCATCCTTTCTGCGGTCTCTAACGGTTTCCAAATGTGCTCAAGTTGAGCAAAACCACACACGAACATCCCTCAGACCTCCGAGAGCCGGCTCGATGCTGAAACATTTAACGTGTTCACGAACAGTTGCAGAACATCAAACTTGAGACCTACCATCGCTGCTGAATTTCACTGTCTTCAAAATGGGACAGTTTATCCTAGAATACAGTAAATCTTTATTCTGAGTCTCCATCAGCTAACAGAGTTGTTGGATAATTTGTAGAAAAACATTTTTACGGCCCATTGTTCATGGTGGCTAAAACCTAAGATGTCAAGGAGTGATTGTGAAAAAGTATATAACTATAAGTTGCAGTTTAAAGTTCCCAAAAAGCTAATAGGTTGAGTTAAGATTATTTTTGTTTTTTAGCCAACAGAGATGAAAGAGGTGCCCAGTAAAGTGAGTCAACTTCATGAGACTGAGCCAACAATAAGTTGATGAACAACGTGAGATACAGTGAAGAGCTCTGCTGCTGTTGATGAGGTCAAGAATGAACTCTCACGCTGTTTTGGGGTTGAAAGCTTTGAAATGAAATTTGAAATCTACAGATACTAGCTTGAACCGTTTCTGTGTATTGATAAGAATTTAGATTGTTTGGTAACAAAGTAGGGCTGCAACTATATATAACTTCTTAAGATATACATGAGTATTATTTTAGGTTAATTAGTGTCAAGAAATGTCAGATAATGAAAGTGTCACAATGTCCCATGGCCTTGTGTTTTGTCGTCAGACGTTGTTTTGCCCGACCAACAGTCGAGTCCAGATTAGGACTGAGAGCAATAGTCGATTAACCGGAAATGAATTGCCAACTTTAGTGATGAGTATTTAATCACTTAGGTTATTTATCAGGGACAAACATCACATTACACATCTTGGTTCCAGTTTTCCAGTGGTGCGGATGATTTCTGATGCTTTTCTCTGTATTAAACCATAAGAAATGGAATATATACTTGGGTTCATGGGTAACAAAACAGGACATTTAAAGACGCCATCTTGCGCTCTGAAAAATTGTGATGGACTTTTTTAGGGCTAAAAATTTTATTCTAAGATTAATCGATCGATGAAAGAATTGTTAGATGCAGAGAAAGCAAAATACTTACTAGCCAACTGTTGATATATTAATCGACCGAACATTATTAGAAAGTACTTCCCAGTTCATCTGACAGCGTGGAGGATGGTGTGTTTGGATGGAAAGCTTCCTCTTACATCTTTAAGATACAGCAGTTTGTCAGCTTTGGATGCAAACATTTTACTTTTTGGAGTCAAAAGAAACTTGAGACTCTGATTTAAAAGGCGTCTTTGATGTAGTATTTTGAGATATACTGTGTGTTGGGTGTATAATGGTGCTATTGAGTGAACTGTACCTTTTTATGCAGACATACAACTGCTTCAAAGAAGCCGAGGACTTTTAATCTCTTCTACAGTCGTATACAAACACACACATGCACACACACTCAGTCTAATTGACTCCTGATTGTCCCATTAACCTCTGAGGGGGTTCTGGGTAATAGATCCATATGTCCCCCTCCAGCAGGCCTTGATTGTAATGACTGACCTTTCCCACTGACATGTCATCAACGGGGGGGGGGGCCCTCTCTGGGGCCCTCGGGGGGCTGGAGTGGAGGAGAGGGCACAGGGCCTCATAATTTAGGCGACATCCTGGCTTCAGTGGGCGGGGTCAAGTAGGTCACCAGTGGCCGTAACAGGTGTCCCTCAGTCAGAGAGCTTCGTATGAATGAAAAGACATGTTTCTGCTAAATATCACAGTTCACACGTGGACAGAGCTGCTTCTGTCTGGGAGATTGATTGATGATTTGAATTATTCACTGATTCAAAGATTATACGTCAGATTGTTTGAATGTGACTAGTTGGAGCAGGCCTCAATTTTTCTAGGTGTGTTCCTGGTATGTGGAGCATCAAGTGTAATTATAAGACAGAGATTTGGTTTGTGGTCTTTAATATTATACTGACATGGCGCCAGTATAATCTTTATTTACCTGGAAGAAATTATGGAAATTTCAGGACATCAAGGGGGCAAAGGGGAAGAAAGGAGCATTTAGGAAAAGGGTGATTCCTCTAGTAAATGGAGACGGTTTGGTTTCACATGAACAGACCTTTGGGAGAACCGTTGGTACTAAAATATTTCAGCCATTTTGAAATCACAAAGACATCGAGCTCCTCGTCTGTCTCTGGATAAGAGCGAGAACCAAGCGGCCGAGGTGGAACGCGGCTGGATGCTTTGCGTCCGATGTTCCTGTATTAAATCTCGTTTGTTTGTTTGTTTTTATCTCTCTCACCAACAGAACAAGAGGAAAACTTTGAGTTCACCATCGTGTCGTTGACGGGGCAGACGTGGCATTTCGAAGCCACTTCGTACGAGGAGCGAGACGCCTGGGTGCAGGTCATCGAGAGCCAGATCCTGGCCAGCCTGCAGTCCTGTGAGAGCAGCAAGAACAAGGTGAAGTCCGCTCTACGGTTCCCAACAGTCCTGAATCATCTGAAGTCCCGGTTTTAGAGTTAGTGTTATAAAGAGCTCTGCTGATGTGGAAATATACTTGTCAGGGAACCTTTTAGACGGGTTATGAGAGTTTGTTTAAAAACACACATTAAGGATTTGGTGATAGGGTCAGGAGATGTCTCGGTTAAAACTTGGCTGAATGTGGTTAAAATGTTAAAACTTTGAGACATTTATGTTCATAAAACTGATGTTTCAGCAGCATTTAAATGTGTTCAAGACCTGCTTCACTTCACTCGGTAAACCTCTGTTTAAAATAACCGAGAAAACTTAAATAAAAGTTAACCTTGTAAGTATTAAATCTTGACTCAAGGTGCACTTACTAGTGTTTTCTTGGACTTTTAGCTGCTAATGGGGCCGTTCACACCACTTAAAACAGGGACTTATCTTGACCCTGAACAGTATTTTGACAAAAACATCTGAACTCAAGGTTAACTTGTTAACTTCTGGGGCTTTCAACCCGATCTCACAGTCTTCATCAGCAAAAGGGCTCAGTTATTATACCACCTAAAACTTGAGTCTGAAAGTTCGTCCTTGACCTCGTGAATAATAATTTGATTTAAACTACTGATTCAAGGTCCACTTACTACGTGTAGCTTTTATCAAAGCTTTTAATTGCCTTTAATCGTTAAAATAAGTTTTAGTTTTAAGTTTTCATCAAGGCTCAAATTAATTCATCCCGAATGAAATGTTTATTTTTGATTTTAATATAAACTGTGCACAGTATATACTATCTATACAGACAGAGTAAAATTAAATTAAGAAATAAATATGCACACACACACACAGTCATAAATTATGTCATTTAGGGCTGCAGCTGATGATTATTTTCTCGATTAGTTGTTTGGTGAAGATGGTAAAAAATGTCCCTCAGCGTTTTCCTTATATGATGTTCTCAGATGTCTTGTTTTGTCCACAACCCACAATATATTCAGTTTACTGTCACAGAGGGGGAAAGAAAACTGAAAATATTCACATTTAAGAAGCTGGATTTAGAGAATTTTGACTTTTGTTTCTTAAAATTACTTAAAACAATTTTAAAAAGTGCTTGGTTAACAACTAATCAATTAGTCACTGCAGCTCTAATGTAATTATTAAAAGGTTCGGACAGAAATGTGTGCGTGCGTTACATTTAGACAACTATAAAAAAAACGTGTTACGAATTATAAACTGTATGAAGCGGTGCATCAAACTAACTAAAGTATCCGATATGATACAAACAGCAGGAATAGGACCACACACACACACACACACACACACACACACACACACACACTGGTTCTCACTATTACCTGCTTCCACACAAACACACTTTCATTCACATAATTACAAAATAGCAATTACTGTACCTCAGCTTCGGCCTCGGCGCTGCCATTTTCCACCTGCACATGCAGCAGGCGGCTCCGTGTTTACGCCTCAGGCTCTCAACCTTTTATTGCCCCCCCACCACTGCCGCCACCCCCCCCCCCCCCCCGCCAAGTCCATTTGTTTGCTGTGTTATTCCTTAATTTCCCCGACATCTGTGGGTTCAGCCTGAAACAGCAGCGGCTGTTCGGGTCTGTTCTCACCTGTATGTGGCTCAGAGAGCGAGGCTGCACGTGTTTGTGTTTGTTTATTTACAGCAGAATCATCCGATCTTAAACTATCTCTAATCTTCTTCTCAGATTTGAGCGTGAGCAGGAAAAGATTTGGGAGGCAGCGCGACAGAAATCATGACAATAATCTGCGTTTTGTGTCCTTTTATGTGATTAATATTAACATTAAAGGTTTTGTTACCTGTTACAGGCACAGCTGATTATCTGATTAATCAAACAATTTAGGGGCCACAAGTAACAATTATTTAGATTATTGATCAATCTGCACATTATTTTCTCACATAAATGATTCATTGTTTAGTTTATGAAGAAATGTTCTTAATTAACTTAAACAATTATTAGATTATCAAGATTTCTGTCAGTGAACTGGCTCTAAGAAAACTCTGATAATCTATTGGCATTTATTAAAAAAACAGTCTTACTGTTACTTTTGTTTTTATTTTAGTCGACTTAACGTCTGAACCTTTCGGTCTCGCCTCATTGAAGAAACCCGTCACCTTGGGCTCTGCTCCCTACGTGGACGGCAGTCCAAATCAGTTCGACCTGAGTTGAGTTTGTGTTTTTGCTCCTTCAGTCTCGTCTGACCAGCCAGACGGAGGCCATGGCTCTGCAGTCCATCAGGAGTATTCGAGGAAACGGCCGCTGTGCCGACTGTGAAGCCCAGAGTGAGTACACAACGTTTACAGTCTCTAACGTATCGCGGAGCTACCTCCTGCTGTCGGATTAACACGTTTTTTTTAGTTTGAAAAGAGTTGAAATGTACCCACAACTTCTTTATGGGATGTGTTTGTTAAATGATCTCCTCTCGCCTCCCTCTCCGCTCATCCAGACCCGGACTGGGCGAGTCTGAACCTCGGGGCCCTGATCTGCATCGAGTGCTCGGGCATCCACAGGAACCTGGGCACCCACCTCTCCAGGGTTCGCTCTCTGGACCTGGACGAGTGGCCGCTGGAGCTCATCAAGGTCATGTCGGCCATCGGCAACGAGCTCGCCAACAGCGTGTGGGAGGCCAACGCGCAGGGACGCCTCAAACCTGGGCCGGACGCCAGCAGGTAGGAAACACACACCCAGGACTTTTTTTGTTTGTATTATGTGGGATTTTAGTTTCACTGTGAGGTTGGAGTCCTGTTCATGGTAGTATTCTTGATTTATGTTGGTGTTTCACAAAGAAAGGAGCACAAATTCAGACCAAACTACAACCAACTACAGCCTGTGTCTGTCTGTCTGTCTGTGTTGGCAGGCGTCGTTCCAGGAAATGTTTGGCATTTGTATATAAACAATGAGCTTTGAGGATTATCAAAGTAGCAGCCAATCTACTTTCTGTCAATCAACCAATCGTTTTAGCTGCAGTTGTGTGAACTGTAGAGTCGTTAAAGCCTCATGTTTAAAAAATGTTCTGCTTTGTGCTTTAAGAGTTAAATGTTAGGAGTAAAAATTACAACATTTCCCTCTGGGAAGTGGAATGAAAAGAAAACACTCAAGTAAAGTACTCAAATGTGTACTTAATGACAGTATTTGAGTACTTGTAGTTACTGAAAAACTTCAATTAATAGCCGAGTCAAATAGCCGTCTACTGCGTTTACTGGCCTGGTCTCCATTAGACGCCTGGCCTTTGGATGTATGAAACCGCTTTAGCTGCTTCTAAGCTGCTTAGATCGTTAATACAAATATTAATGTTTAAACGTATGATCAGTATGTCAGTATGAACATGCTCCACACCGTTAGATCGTTAAGATTCTAGTCGTTCAGTTCATTTAACGGAAACAACGAGCCCCAAATAGATTGACCGATGTAACCGGCCGGGAACAAGAGATGAGGCTGAATGTGTCCGCTGATTATTTATCTTCCTTTAGTCTGGAAGGGTCCACCGATCAAAAGAATCAGCTTGTGAATCCTGTCAGGTGAAGTCCATCGCTCTCTGTCTGCTACCGTCTGCCACGCTTCTCTCATCCTGCACCCTGCTGCTGTTCTCGTTACGTTGCTGCCTTCAAAATAAAAGTGGTCTGTCAGAGCTGGATCAAATGAATGACGTGTATTTGATATTATTTGATGATTTTTAAACAAGTAATATTCATACTGATTGAAAGAAATAAACTGTTTCATAGTTGCCTATTTCAGTTTTTGTGCAAAAGGAATTAAAGGCCTGCCCCAAATATAGGCAGGGTCAATTCAGTGATTTTAGCAGATAAAAGCTCGGCTATTAATCAAAGTTTTACGGGAGTTACAATCCATCACTGACCTCTCAGAGTGTGTGTGTGTGTGTCAGTGCAGTGCGGGCAGCTACAGAGAGGGGGCAGTATTTCAGTGTTACAGACTCACCAGGGTTCACGCTGGATGTGTTGGATATTGACAGAAAATGCCTACAAACCCCTGTTTCTGTTTCTGTGTGTGTGTGTGTGGACTACGGGGGATAGTAACAAATCGGTGAACTTTAGCGTGACGTCGGTGTTGATCAGTGCGTGTACCTGTGCGCGCGCGTGTGTGTGTTAACGTGTGCGTGGTGTGTAATTATCGGCCGTTGCAGCTTTGGGAAGCCAGCAGCCATCATAACAAATTAGAGCTGACTGCCATCCGCATAAAGATCGACTTCCCCGTCCACCCCCCTCCACTCACCCCCCCGACGCTCATTAGTCAACAGAAGCACCTTATAATTACTCCCCACATGACCTCCCCCCAACACACACAGTGTGTACAGATATGCTCACAAACACACACATTTTCACCCTACTATACACAATAAATGCATGTAAATAAAAACTATTTATACTACACATACACGCTAATGATGGAAGCAGGTCTCACAGCCTTTTACTAATGTAGTACTAGTAGTAACACACACAGTATAAAGTACTGCTAGTTAAATATGAGGGGGGGAAGATATCCAAGAGGAGCACAATGACCATTAAAGTCTGATACTGGCTTTCCATGCAAGTTATACAAATACTGGATATAAATAAATAAAAATATATAAAACAACAAGATGTTGGTGGACAAATTAGTGTATTTATTGTGGGTGTCCTGAGAGATATGATGAAACAACACACAGCGACATGCCTGTACATGTTGCACATATCTCGTGATTTTGTGCGTTTGAAGTGCACGTTGCGGCACAATGAGCTGCTCAGGTGGCACGTGACCAAACACAAACACACGCAAATGCGTATTCAACAGTAACACATGCAGGCAAAGTGCTGGCTGCCGTCACACACTGCAAAAAAAACAAACCCCCACACCCATCCACACTGATGCAGACACACACACTGTGAGCGATCTTTGAGTATCGACGTGCCATTAGCCCTCCTCCGTCAGAGCACTAATGCTTTTATTGTTGCTCATGTTCCTATTTATTTATGAATCTGAAGCATGTTTCCCCCTCAAGAGATTAGAGAAGGAGGTCAATATTATCTCAATTAACCCGCGACGCTCCACTGCAGCTCCATCTCTCCCCCCTCCCGCTCTCTCTCTGCCCTGTCGATAGTATTTATCAGTCCATTCCTTAAGTGGCTCGCTGTTTGTCGTTTCCCCTCCATAAATCCCTCCTTTCTCCGTTTCCTCCATCATTTCTCTCCGTCTCTTTCCACCTCTGTCTTCTTTTCTTTGTGGTGTTCTTCAGCCATCTCTCTCCAAATGTCTTTTCGGTATCTTCCCATTCAGGGTGTTTTTAATGCACAGACAACATTTTTACACTAGGAAACAAGATAAACACTGATTGAAACAGTTATATTTTAAATTCTTGTTCTTCTTCTGTGGTAGAAAAAACAGGAATTTCCTGTTGCTACTCACTATAACAGGCCTCCCCTCCACAAAACAAGGTCAAAAAGATGAAGAGTGGAGGTGTTACGTTTAAAATCTGTCTCTGTTGATTAATTAATCAAATATTTATTGAAAATGTAATATGGAATAATTGCAGGAAGTGCAACGTTTGTTAAAGGTGATATTTGAGTCAAAATACTATTTTAAATAAAATATTGTCGTGCTGATTTAAAAAAACATCTTTGTTTGGTACAAATCCTTGCAAAAATCACACCATGATCATTTAAATATGTTTATTAATGAGAATAATTATGTAAAAATGATCATTCCCAGTTGCTACTGTTGATTCTTTCCCACCAATGATTAAACGTTGCACGATAGACAAAACGTGTTCTTCCTTCCAAAGTTTGACCAATGAAATAACTGTCTGTTAATGACATCACTGGATCTCAACCTCCCACATCTTATTTTTGCAGGAAAGAAAACAAAATACAAAGACATGAACGACGTTTTGCATTGTAATTCTGGCTTAGACGAGATGTGCTACGGATTTTAGGGCAGAAGCAGCAATAAAAACGTCCTGCTGCTCCAGTAATGACATAATCTCGTCTCCTGACTTCAAAAGTTTCAGAAATGTGTTTAAAACTTGAACGGAAGGATAACTTCTTGTTCTTTTCCCTCCTCGCCTTTCATCCGCACCTGCCCGTGCTTCTCGCCGCCCGCCTTGAGAGGAAGGCGTGGAGGTTTTATGACATCTTTATGGAGCGCCAGTGACGGCGTATGAAATGATATGTAGGAGCTCTGTCACCGAGGTTACATTCACTCAACGCTCGCTGCTCCTCTTAAATTACAACCCGCGAGACGTCAACAAGCACTAAAACATATGAGGGTTTAATACAGTTAAATACATGGAAGTGCTGATTAATAGAGACAAATATTATCATGCGTCGCTCTTTAAATGTTTTTAAAAGAAAAGTGTCACCTATATTTTAGATTTTTGTTGAAATCCAGACTCTTAATCACGTGTCGGAGGTTCTTTGCTAAATATGTTATAAGATCTATTTCGTTCATGCAAAGTTTTAAAATACCCTCCCAACAAAAAATGCAGCAAACTATCTGAATTAAATGTTACTTAACCACGAATGTCACTGTCATCTCTTCCACTTTCACAATAAAGGCCTACCTCTGCCTTCACATTTAAATGCCTTTATTATGAAGCTCACACAGGAAGTGATACATAAAACTGATCTGGATCTCTTAGGCTTAAACCTGATGTGTGCCTGGTTTCTTCTTATTTCTGCTGTTTATTTCTAATAAAACCAAAAATCAAATCATATGCATTTATACATATATAATTCTACAGGACAAACAGTACGTTAATATCCTATTTCCTGTATGTTTATTTGTGGAAAATTGCATTTGCTTTAATAATTTAGCTGTTTAAATTCCTCTCTGTTATACATCACATGTTGTATTATGTGCTATATCAGTTTAAATATCCAAAATCAAGCCCTTATTCGCACAGATAATTTCAATTCCTCCACCTCGAAGTGACTGAGAAGCGCAGAGACAGAAACCTGTGTGGGGAAAAAGAGGGAAAAGACGAGGGATAGGTTGAGGTATGGGAAAAGGCCGGAGGAGGCTTTGTCCAGGCAGCAGGAGGGATGGGAGTGGGAGGGAGGGGGTGCTGATGGATGGAAAAATGCCTTCCCCTCGTGGTCTCTCAAGTGAGTAATAGAGGCCGAAATTTCATTTTGCAAGTGGCTGATTTAATGATCCAAAGGGTAATTAATGGCCTGATTATCTTAATGTTAAATATGGCCAGCAGCAATTACGCTGACCTCCTGTCTGTCAAGGTCTGGCCCCCCACTCCGCCTCCCAATTAGGTCCTGTTTGGAGGTTTGGAGGGGGGGGAGGTAGATGGAGGAAGGGAGGAGGAGAAGGAGGGAGGAAAACTAGGGGAATAGGAGGCGAAAGAAAGGAATGGATAGGAGGAAGAGGGAGATGGAAAGAAGAAGTGGAGAACGAGGGAGGAGGAGGAGGAGGAGGATGGGGAATTGGATGGAAGAAAGGAAAACAGAAGAGGGAGGAATAGATGGAAAATGACATTTAGGGAGCAGAAAATAAAGAAGGGAACAAAAGAAATGGATAGAAGACTGGAAGAGGAGGCAGAAATGTGAAGGAATGGATGTGAAGAGACTGGGACGGACGGATGGAGCCAGGAAGAGGAGGTGGAGGGAGGTGCACTAGTATGGCCATCGGTATTAAACACCTCCATTTCTTTGCCTCCTCCCCTCCC